TGGCCTCACACACTTCTCCGTTCCTTACTTCCTCTCACCCAGCCTTCCACCTGCTATTCCAAAATGGACTCACTGTCGCCTGGACTCAGTGACCCAGGCCCGGCACTGGAAATGCTGAGAACAGAGCTATTAACATGGAGCCTGAGGAAACCAGAACAAAGACAAGGCAAGAGGGTGTGGTGGAAGAAAACTGAGTCGGCCTCCTGGCTCTACTACTCACCAGGAAGCCACCAGCAATCTCAGCCTTTATCCCCCATCTGTACATGGACAGAAAGGGGACAGTTGTAGGGAATTGTTGCGATCACAGAAGCGGAGCAACTTGGAGGTGAACACAGCTCCACCCGGCCTCGTGGGAGGCCACCAAGCAAGTGAACTCAGCTGTAACTGGACACCCTGGGATCCCCATTCTCTGACCCCTGAGAGAAATCATTCACCTGGCCCTGAAGACACTGCCAGTGAGCGGGCACAGGCCCTCCCGCCTGGGTCCAGGCACCCAGCACAGGGCGCAGATGGGGAGCCGTGCAGCTCTGGCATGTGGTCCGCCTCAGTGGGGGGCTGCCTTCCTCTTCCCTTCCAGGCCAGGGAAAGGAAACGAAGCTGGAGATTCCCTAGCCGGTGGCATTTTGAAATTTTTCCAGTAGGAAAGGGGGGAAAAAAAAAGGCCAAAGAGTTCAAAGTCTCCGGGAAGCCCTGGGCCGGCTGTGGAAGAGGAGTGGGGAGGGGAAGTGGCACATGTCAGCCCCTCACAGGGCTGGCTGGGACACTGAGCCGGCCGCCAGGCCGAGCAGAAAGGAGCACCGTCTAGTCTGTCACGTTTCATGTTTTAAAAAATCCAAACTCTGTGACTTCACAGTGACCCAAGTCCTGTGACTGCACCCATCAGCCCAGGGTGGGAAGCTGGCACATGGTGGCGGGGTGGCGACCGCCGTGGGCATGCGACAAAGCAGCCCAAGCGGCTGTGCCCTCCACACTGCGGGCTCCCTCTGCCATCAGCCGCTGAATGTTCTCCACACGCAAGGCTGCTTGCTGGAGCCCTGCCCTGAAGTCGGCCTCAGAGGCTCTCTCCTCCAGGCTACCCCCTGCTTCTGGCCACCAGCTTTCGCCCTCACCCTATATATCAAAGGCTCCAGTGTACTCGGATCCTTTGACTGAGTGAATCCACATCAGGGATTCCACCTGAGGAAATAATTCAGACCGTGCATGAAGATTTCTATAAAGATGTTCATCACAGTGTGATTTAAAATGGTGAAAGGTTACTGACAATCAAAAGAACCAGAGTTAGAATAGGGTGGTGGGCCTCGGCACTGATTGCAAATTGTGCGAACTTGATAAAAATTTCAGACACCTGCCTTTTTTCAGGGCCCCACAGGTGACTCTGATCCATGCCAGGGCTAAGAACCACTGGGGTCACCTGATGGGATATGTGCTGCCATTATAAATGATGTTTAAGGAGAGTTTTTATATAATGTGAAAAAATGCTTACATCATACTAAAAGGCAAAACCAAATAACTAGGAACTGGATTTCTTTGCCAGGAATACCTCAACTGTCTTTAAGTAAAAAACCAAAGAACAAAACCAAAATGAATCCTAAAACCCTAGAGCCTAGGTAGAAACATGTTAACATGTTGTGTTGACCCCAGATGATAGGATTATGGGTGTTTTCTCATTCCTAGTCCTCTGTTACTTTAAACATTTTTTCTTTTTCTTTCTTTCTTGCTTTTTTTTTTTTTTTTTAAACCAAGAGCAGGTGCTATTTTTTAACCAGAGAAACAACTAAAAGGCAAGTGGCCCTGGGGAGGACATCCTAACCTCTCAGCTCCGTGCTGCCACCCATAACAGGCTCACCCAAGGCAGCATTCCCCATGTCTCCCCCATGTGGCCAGTGCCCACCCACCCTCATTCCTTCTTGGGCTCATATGTGCTTTGCAGTCAATTATTTTAATTAACTCCCTTAACAATTGTGCATGGGAAGTGTTGTTAGCCCATCTTTCCGATAAGGAGAATTCCCTAGAATAAAATCTGTGGTTTAAAAACCAACAAGATAACATGGTGATGATGCTTGGCCAGAAAATTTCAGGCCCTCTGGCTTCCCTCCTGGCCTCCCACAAAAAACCTATTTGGGAGCAGATGAATGGACTGTAAGCACGACAAATCTGTCATATTTCATTGATTCTAAGATGCCGATGTCTTCACACTGTAACATCTCTGAAATCTGGATGTGTCTCACAACTGATGGCATCCAAAGACAGTACCCTCTCCTGTTTCGTAATGGTACCTGGAGTAATGGTACATCTTATGATTGACTGGCAGCTTAGACTCAATGAAATGTACCATGTTCACAACCAAACCCATCATCCTATCTTCAAAATGCTACTTTTAATGACTACATAATATTCTAGCACGTGGATATATTTTAATTTATTTAACCAGTGGCCTATTATGAACACTTAAGTCTGTTCCCTGTTTTTACCATGATAAATACTGCTACTGGGAACACCTTGGCATCAAGTTTTCACTTTTTCTACTTACAGGCATTATCACTTTCTCCCAGGTCCAAATCTTGGGAGACATTTTGATACCTCTTGCCCCTTGTCTCCCATATTTTCAATCTTTGCAGACTCTGCTTGTCATTTCTTCTTCCTAGTATGTCTTCCTGGTATCACCACCAGAGGGCTCTCTGACAGCCCCCTGGTCTCTGCTTCCAACTCCCCTTTCAATCCATCACTGTGTTACTGGTCAAACATGACTTCAGTCTAATCATATTTCTGTTCAAAAACTAACATTCCCTACAGGGTGAAGTTCACACTTCTAGCCCAGCATCCTGGGCTCTGTCAGATTTTGCTCCAACATCTCCTGCAGCCTGCTCTCCCTACCCAAAGCCAGGACTCCAGACAAAGTGGCCATGAGGGGTACTGCCTCCAGGCCCTTGCTCACTCAGTTACCCCCATGCCCAGAGAGAGGGATGCTCTACCTTTCTTTTTCCAAGCCTAAGCCATCAGACTCAGGTCAAGTTTCACCTTCCCTATGAAACTTTTCATGGCTCATTTGATCCTTATAACCATCTGGAGATGTAGAATGATAAGTATGCTCATACTCATTTCACAGGTGAAGAAACTGAAGTTTAAAGAGATTAAGTGGCTTCTTCAAGGTCGTTACAGCTTAGAGTACAGAGCCGAGCTTTGAGATCCAGGGCTTCTGTCCTTAAACCCAATGCCTTTTAGAAACAAGTGCAAGTACAACCATAAACTTCTCCTGAGGAGCAACTTGTGCCCAGGTCATATATCCAGCAATTCCTACCAAGATTCAACAGTCTCTGGATTCTAGACACATATATGACAATAACGAGAACATTTTAAGAGTGGAGATACCTAGTGTCTGTCAGTTCTCAGCAACACCAGAAGGGCTGGGCCAGTTATCCTAATTTCCTTTTAGAGATGGAAAGACAACAGTATCTTTCTTGAATTATACTGCTCTCAAATTAGCACCGAACCTGACTGGTTTGGCTGGGCCCAAGGTCAGGACAGAGAATCAGAGCTGCCTCATTTGGAGACAAGAAGGATATGGGAAACTTGCTTCAACTGAGGGCTTTGGAGGACCTCAGGGAAGTAGTTCTAAGGAAGCGAGAAGAGGGTGCAGCCTTCTTGTTATGTGACCATGACCTTGCCTGAAGCTGAGACAGCTTAGAAAGTCAGGCCAAAGTGCTGGACAGGAGACAAGGAACAAGGTGGCATGAGGCTGCTGCTTCCTGAGCCCCCCACTTGGCAGAGAGTATGCTCCGGCTGAAGAGAAAAGAAGGTGTTCACTATTACTCTGGGTCTCAGACACATGACACAGTCATAGTGGTTAAAAAAAAAAAATTCTTAACAATGTATAATTCACTGTCAAATCTACACATGAAATGCACCGCCTGACATATAATTCACCTTTTGTCATTTAATACAATAAAATGCTATGGGTTAAAACAAAGAAACAAAGAGTCCTGGCTTATAGGTAGTGCAACCTATCCTGGGTCCTTATACCTACCCAGACCAGGCTGGATGTAGCTGCCATCACCGACCAGCTCAGGATGAAGGAAAGCGAGCTTTGTGCTCCTAAGAGGAAAGGGCTGTCAGGAGGGTTGCCCTCCAGTGTTCCTCCCTATACACAGTGACCCAGGTCTCCAAGCCAATTTCTCCAACCTCTGTGGCCAAGGTCAAACCTCTGTGTTACTGGTCAAACATGACTGGTTGAGCAGGACTAGGTTGAGCAGTCCTGACTGCTGGCGTCCTGGTTGACTAGGACTAGGTTGAGCAGAGGGCTATCAGACGAAAGCTTCTCACCTGAGCCAACAGACTTCTCACGGAAGCTGGGAGAGTCGGTACTTTCTTTGATTTTAGGGTTGACCCAGTATCTTTGGATCTTCGCAATAACTTCCCACCTCATGGGACAGCCAGGGGAATGGATGAGGCTACTGAATCTCAGTAAAGGTGAAGGGCCATGGAGGTGGATAACATTATTCCCTGGTTCACGGTGCGCTATATAGCCAATAGACCAAGAGCTCTTTGGGAGCCTCTAAGAAGTGAAACCCCAAGCTGAGCTGCTTTCTTAAGTGTGGAGTAGAGGCCCCTCTATAGGAACAGATAGTTGAGGCACAGATGGAAACCATTGGCTTTGAGACTGTTCAGCTCCTCCACTGGTCAACAAGTCATGTCTGAGCCTCAGTTTCCCCATTTGTCAAGTAGAAAGGATCCTCAGTAAGAGCAGGTGTGTGAGAGGTCTGGGCACTGTCTTAACATTCACAGGAGCAGTGAGTGCTTCACACATAGCAGCATGGATTCCTCATGCTAAGAGGAAGGGCAACGGGAAGGCACCCCCCACCCTGGTCCCTCATGACATGGACGCATGACCCCTTTTGGGTGAACTCAACAACCAGATGAAGAGCTGGTTTCCTGTGACCCCTGAGGTAAGTTTCTCAGCCATGACCAAACGCAGATTTGTAAATGCCAAGAAGCTTACTCACCGGCTCAATTTTCAAAGCGTCTCGGTAGCTGCCAAAGAAAGCAGCCTGCGCCTTGAGGAAGGCCCTGGCCACACCATCGCCAGTTGTTGTGGAGACTTTCTTTAGCCGGTTCTTCAGTGAAGAGATCTGGTAACAGAGAGAAAGGACACAGGTTCAGGGCAGGGTGGGAGGATGGCTGGCTAAGCCCAATCCATACAGAACTCTAGAAATTCCCTGGGAGGATTCTAGTTCCAGCTCCTAGAGAAGAAAATTGTACTCAGTATTAGGGCAGGTTTCTGAAACTGAAGAGAACATTGCTTCTCTTAGAGTGTATCAAGTAAGAACAAAAACAAAGCTACTTTCCTTTAGTTTCAATGTGCCAGGTACGTGTGTTCACACACATTTTCTAATTTAATTATTTCCACATTCTTGCAAAGAAGGGATCAGTGTTCCTGTCTTATAAGAGTGAAATAGTCTCAGAGAGGTTGGATTATATGCCTAGAAACAAACCCAAGTGGTGGCCAACTGGAATATGAACTGAAAGTCTTATATGTTTTTAAAGATTTTATTTATTTATTTGAGAGTAAGAGAGAGACAGAGAAAGAGCAAGGAGATAGTGCACACAAGTGGGTGGAGGGACAGAAGCAGACACCCAGCTGAGCAGGAAGCTCATATGTAGGGCTTGACCCCAGGACCCTGGGATCATGGCCTGAGTTGAAGGCAGATGCTTAACAGACTGAGCCACCCAGGCGCCCCTAAACTAAAAGCTTTATAATCTGAGCCCAAAAGACACAAATTGTTTTAGTTCCAATTCTACTCTCTTTGAATTACTTACAAATAATAGAAATGAATGGCTTATTTATAACATATATACCTCACACCTGATACTCAAGACATACAATTATTAAATATGTGACATATATTTATTGTATTATAAATTATATACACATTAAAAATATATAAAGTAAACATACACATAATATATATTATCATATTCTTCATACTCTAGAGGAATAGTGGCAGCTAATAGATATATATACTCAAGAGACTTAGAAAAATAGGCAAGAAAAGCCATGGCACTAGGACAAGAAGCCAGAAATATTTAGTGTATAAATGTAAGCTATAAGGTCTTACATGGTGGCTAGAGCTGGCTTGTAAATTTGACTTATGAGCCTTCTAGTGGTCAAAGCAAAAAGAGAGACCCAAGTTGTGAGATTCTTCAGGTCCATGTAGTACAAACCAACCACCTGCACAAATGAAAACAAGTTTTCCTGAACGTGAGAACTGAAAGAGATTTTTTCCTATGAATCCTCAATGTGGGAAATCCTCATGCGTTACATGATGGCTCTTGCCCTCAATGTTGGAGACAACACCAAGCCTCCTGGTCTGCTTCTAACATGCTTTTCATTCATCTCAAGATGCTTCACTGCACAACTTCCAGGCACACCATTCACCCTATGTTTGTTCCATGTGAAAAATACCCCTGGAACTTGGCAACGGGGTAGCTTTGAGTCAATGGTGATAAAACAGTGAGCAAAAGAAGACACAGGTCCTGTCCAGAGGAAGTTTACATTCCAGTGAGGGATACACCAATCCACAGATGATGCTGCCACCTTGATGAGCCCCAGAGCTCGCTGAGGAGATCAAAGAAGGATTCCTGGAGGGCATCGGGCTTAAAGGGAAATCTGGGGGAGGAGCTGACGTCAAACTTGGCCAAGAGGGAACAGTGCTCTGAGTACACAGAAAAAAGCCTGTGGTGAGGAGTCTGGAGAATAGAAAGGACTATGGCTCCAGTGGAGAAAATGAGGGAGAACATGGCTTGAACAGGGCTAGAGGAAAACGCAGGAGTCAAAAGTGCCAGGAGGACCGTAAGGAGTTTTTTCCCTTCGTTTTGAGGGAAATGTAAACCTAATGACTGTTTTTAAACATGCAGGTGACATATCAAGAACACATTTCAGGAATCTATTATGGGCAATATAAGATTATCTGACAGGAGCACCCAGGTGGCTTAGTGGTTGAGCATCTGCCTTTGGATCAGGGCGTGATCCTGAAGTCCTGGGATTGAGTCCCACATCGAACTCCCTGGGTGGAGCCTGCTTCTCCTTCTGCCTATGTCTATGCCTCTCTGTGTTTCTCATGAATAAGTGAATAGAATCTTAAAAAAAAAAAAAAGATTATCTGATGGCCTGACATTATTTAAGGATAAATTAGAAAAATGAGATTCAGGTGGATCATGAGTCACCTAGTGTTCCTCAGATCCCTAAAAGTACCTGGGAGCCTAAAAATATTAAGGATCACTGGTTTGGGATAGATCATATAGACTTTAGGAAATGTTCCAGTGGGGGCACCTGGGTGGCTCAGTCTGTTGAGTGTCTGACTCTTGGTTTCAGCTCAGGTCGTGATCTCATGAGCCATGAGAGTGAGTCCCACATCAGGCTCTGCACTCAGCAGGAAGTCCGCTTACAGAATCTCTCCCTCTGCCCCTCCCTCTGCTCACAGGTGTGCTCTATCTCTCTCAAATAAATATATCTTAAAAAAGGAAAGTGCTCCATGGATATTATTTCTTATTAACAAGCTTCTGATAAGGGATTTTTATTTTTTAAAGATTTTATTGATTTCTTAGAGAGAGAGAGCACGAGCAAGGAGGAGGGGCAGAGGGAGAGGAAGAAGTAGACTCCCCTGTGAGCGAGGAGCCCAACACAGGGCTCCATCCCAGAATCCCAAGATCAGGTCCTGAGCCAAAAGCAGATACTTAACTGACTTGTCCACCCAGGCACCTTAAGGATTTTTATTTATTTATGTATTTATTTATTTATTTATTTATTTATTTATTTATTTATTTATTTATTTATTTATGAGACACAAAGAGAGAGAGAGAAAGAGACAGAGGCAGAGGGAGAAGCAAGCTCCCTACAGGAAGCTTGATGTGGGACTCAATCCCAGGACCCCAGGATCATGCCTTGAGCCTAAGGCAGACACCCAACTGCTGAGCCACCCAGGTGTCCCACCCTCACGGATTTTTAAGTAGCTTATTAAGATATTTTACATACCATAAAATTCACTCATTTGAAGTATATAGTTTAGTGGTTTTTAGTATGATGACAGACTAATGATAGTTTGTAGACTATCACTAAATTTAATCCCTAAATATTTTTATCACCCCCAAAAGAAACCCATCTTATTGTCAGTTACTTCTCATTCCCCACCAATCTTCCTCCCCTCCTCCTAAACCCTTCCATCTTCTGTCTCTAGCGATTTACCTATTTGGACATTTCATATAAATGGAATCATACAATAAGAGGTCTTTTGTGACTGGCTTCTTTCACTCAGTATAATGCTCATTATAAACAAGGTTACTCCATGTTGTGGTACTTATCAGTACACTTCATTCTTTTTCATAGCTGAACAATATTCCACTGTATAGGGTTAGACCACAGTGTATTTACCCTCCATATTTATCTAGTTGATAGGCATCTGGGTTGTTTCCACATTTTGGGTGTTATGAATAATGCTGCTTTGAACATTCATGTAGAAACTTTCATGTGGGGACAACAGAGACTCCGAGGCCAGAAACTGAGTGGTGAAAATCCTCTGTTGCCAGAGCTTATAAAGATAAGCTTAAAGGATACATGAAGTCATGGAGCACAGTGCCTGGCACCCAGTAGGTCACCACTAAGTCTTTACTGAGTAGCAGGGGAAAAAGTCCTGTGCTGTGGCTAATGGGAATGTGCTGTATGCTTGAGCAGGGAATTGAGTGATGGCAGGGCTAGGGCTGATGTCCTTCTCTGGTTAAGTCAGAAGTGATGGGAATAGGCAGAGAGGGGGTGGCTACCCTGTCTGTGCTCAGAGATGAGCCAAGAAAAGACATTTTCCTTTGGAAGCAGTTTTGAGTATGTTTCAGCACCTGGGCGTCAAGAGCCCACTGTTTGTGACTTCCCTCTCCTGGGACACATCAGGCTCAGTGCCACAGGGGGAGAGCCCATGAAGAGTAAGGCAGGCCACTCAGCACCCAGGCAGACTCTGCCATGGGCTTTCAACTGGAAATAGCAATGTGAAAAAAACCCAAACAAACCATGCTTTATTAAAATATTAAAAATATTGCCCACTTCCCACCCTCCCCATAATAGAAATCTTGCCTCTCCCAGGGACTAGGGTGACATTTCCATCCTTTGAAATGGTGCAAGCCACTGTCACTCTTCTAGTTCCTCAAAGGCCTTGGGCCACCTGTGCTGCAGATTATTCCTCACTTAACCTTCCCTGGCCTTTCCCTTTCATTCGGGAGGTGTTTAATTACCTTGGATTCACAACGCTGCACTTCAGGTGAGCCTCTCCTAATGGCCTCATTATCATTTTACACAAAGAAGTCGTTGCTGATTGTAACTGAGCAAATATGAATGTGTGCCTTCCTGCCTGCTCCAGCTGGTCTGAAACCAGCCAAGGGGTCCTGGGCTCTTGATGTCCCTGTGACCACTTAGGCCAAGACTTCTGAAGACCTCTCCTCACCCTGCAACACGGAGAAGCTTTTGTCAGTGCTTCAAACTTTGAAACTTCAAGTATATGTACATCTGATAACTGGTGATAGCATTTTGTCCTTTAAATAAAAGTGAGGGATGAAAATCAGAGGCTTAAAATAACCCACAGTCATACATCTAAAACTCAACTTGCCAAGGAGTACTTGTGGGGGGTTCTGGTCAAATCATTAACACTGGGGTTCATTAGGCATAATCTGGGGGCAATGGAAATGCTGATGAGGATGGTTTCCTCTTTTAATGAGGTACCAGGAGGAAGACAGAAAACAAAGGCAAGAGGATACTACATTGAATGTACCAGCCTCTCTTGAACACTACCACCCCCCTCCACTGTGTCCCCCTTCGTCACTGCAGGGTCACCCAGCTCATCTCCTAGGCCAGATTCAGATGTCAGACTCCATAATCCTCCTTCCCTACTCACCACCATTCTCCGCATCTTATCAGCACCACCCAAATATGTCCCAAATGCGCCCTCTCCTCTCAGCAGCTCCATCCCTCTTTTCTGGCCCAGATTGGTAGAGTAACTTCCCAGATGGGCTCTCGGTTTCAGTGTCCCCTCAATGCCACCCACTGATAGTTGTCCTAGTAATCTCAGAAACATATGAATCTGGTCAATTC